CCTGGAACCCTGTCTGTGGTCCTATGTTGAGAGTCATCCCTTGGACAAAAGACCTCTGGCGCCACCTACTGGCAGCTCTGCATCAGCAATCCAATCTCTCCGTCCCTGTGGCCAACCCTGGCCCCTGGGGCCTGAACACATCTGGGGCCACGTTCAGAGGTCGGGAGGTAGTGCAGAGGCCAGCCAGGGTGGAGGTCCGGCTTGTGACGTTTACCTGGATTCCTAACTGGTCTCCCTCCCTCCTTCCTCCACTCAAAGCTGGGAATATCTCTTTAAAAGTATATCTGTGGAGCCCAGCTAGAGCGGCTCGGTTGAGCGGCGTCCTGTGCACCAAAAGGTGGCCAGTTCAATTCCCAGTCAGGGCACATCCCTGGGTTGTGGGTTTGGTCCCTGGTTGGGGCACATACTGAAGGCAACCAAGCCGTTTCTCTCACATTGATGTTTCTCTCTCTCAAATGAATTTTTTAAAAAAAGCATATCTGTGGAATACTACTTAGCAATTGTGAGTAATAAACTATTGATACCCACAAGGACTTGAATGGATCTTAAGGGCATTATGCTGAGTGCAGAAAGCCAATCTCAAAAGGTACATATTTTATGATGCCATCTAGATACGCTCTCGAAATGACATAATTATAGAGACGGACAGCAGACAAGGTTGCCAGGCATTAGGGAAGGGGAAAGGGGGTGTGGCTATAGAGGGGCAGCATAAGGGATTTCTCTAAAGGCGATAGAACAATTCTCTATCTTGAGCATGCCGATGGTTATATAAACCTACACATGTGATAAAATGTCATGGAATAAACACAAAGACATAGAAAAGAATGAGTGTGTGCAAAAGTGGGGAAATCAAGTGAGGTCTGAAGCCTTTACTTTCCTGGTCTTCATGATGCACCAGCCTTGCAAGCTGTCCCCACTGGGGGAGGCTACGTGACGGGTACATGGACCTCTCTGCACTATTTATGCAACTTCTTTTTAAAAAAAATTTTATTGAATTTATTGGGGTGACATTGGTTAATAAAATCATATAGATTTCAGGTGTACAATTTTATCATATATCATCTGTACATTGTACTGTGTGTTCACCACCCAAAGTCAAGTCCCCTTCCATCACTGTTTATCCTGTTTTACACTCGTCTACCTTCCCCACTCCCCTTTGCCTCAGTCACCATACTGTTCTCTGTGTCTTTTGAGTTTTGTTTTTTGCTTAACCCCTTTACTTTTTTCACCCAGCCCCCCAACACCCCCTCCTCTCTGACAGCTGTCAGTCTGTTTCCTGTATCTATGAGTCTATTTCTATTTTGTTTGTTAGTTTATTTTGTTCATTAGATTCCACATATAAGTGAGATCATGTGATACTTGTCTTTCTCTGACTGGCTTATTTCACTTAGCATCATACTCTCCAGGTCCTTCAGGCTGTCACAAAGGGTAAGATTTCCTTCTTTTTTATGCCCGAGTAGTATTCCATTGTGTAAATGTCCCACGGCTTTATTATCCACTCATCTACTGATGGGCACTTGGGCTGCTTTCAAATCTTGGCTGTTGCAAGTAACACTGCAGTGAACATAGGGGCACATATAGTCTTTCGAATCAGTGTTTCAGGTCTCTTAGGATATATTCCCAGAAGTAGAATCATTGGGTACAAGGCAGTCCCATTTTTTTTATTTTTTGAGGAAATTCCACAGTGTTTTTCACAGTGGCTGCACCAATCTGCATTCCTACCAACAGTATACGAGGGTTCCCTTCTCTCCACATCCTTGACAACAAGTGTTTTTTATTGATTTATTGATAGTAGCCATTCTGACAGGTGCAAGGTAATATCTCATTGTGGTTTTAATTTGTGTCTCTCTGAGTAGTGACGTTGAACATATTTTCACATGTCTATTGGCCATCTGTATGTCCTTACTGGAGAAGTGTCGTTCAGGTCCTTTACCCATTTTTAAACTAAGATTATTTTTTTTGGTGTTCAATTGTATGAGTTCTTTATATTTTGGATATTAAGCCCTTATCAGATGTACCATTGGTGAATATGTTCTCCCATTCAGTGGGTTGTCTTTTCATTTTGTTGATGGTTTCCTTTGATGTGCAAAAACTTTTTAGTTTGATATAGTCCCATTTGTTTATTTTTTTTTTTTGTTTCCCTCGCCTGAAGAGATACATCAGAAAAAATATTGCTACGAGAAATGTCTGAGACTTTACTGCCTATGTTTTCTTCTAGGATTTTTATGGTTTCAAGCCAACATTTTTTTTAACTCTTTAATCCATTTTGAGTTTATTCTTGTGTATGATGTAAGAAGGTGGTCTGATTTCTTTCTTTCTTTCTTTTTTTTTTTGCACATATATGTCCAATTTTCCCAGCACCATTTACTGAATAGACTATCTTTATTTACCCCATTGCATGTTCTTGTCTCCTTTGTCAAATATTAATTGACATAAAGGCATAGTTTTATTTCTGGGCTCTCTATTTTGTTCCTTTGATCTATATGTCTTTTTATGCCAGTACCATGCCGTTTTGATTATTATGGCCTTGGAGTATAGTTTGATACCAGGGAGCATGATTCCTCCAACTTTGTTCTTCTTTCTCAAGATTGCTGTGGCCATTCGGGGTCTTTTGTAGTTCTATATAAATTTTTGGAATATTTGTTCTAGTTTTGTGAAATACGCCATTGGTATCTTGATAGGGATTACGCTGAATCTGTAGGTTGCTTTGGGTGGCATGAACATATTAATGATGTTAATTCTTCCTATCCATGAACACGGTATATGCTTCCACTTACTTGTATCTTCTTCAATTTCTTTATTTAGTGTCTTATAATTTTTTGAGTATAGGTCTTTTACAACCTTGGTTCAGTTTATTCCTAGGGGTTTTTTTTTGTTTTTTTTTTATGCAATTGTAAATAGGATTTTTTTTTTAGTTTCCCTTTCTGATAATTCATTATTGGTGTATAAAAATGGAACCGATTTCTGGATATTTATTTTGTACCCTGTTACTTTACTGAATTCATTTATCAGTTCTAGTAGTTTTTTGGTGGAATCTTTAGGGTTCTCTATATATAGTAGCATGTCATCTGCTATGCAACTTCTTGTGAGTCAATAATTCTTTCACAATAAAAAGTCTATGAAAAGAAAAAACACATACCTGGGCATATCATCCATCTGATCATCTGTACTTAATGGCATCTGATGGACCTCGGAGGGTGAAGTCCATGAAAGGAAATCTGCCACCTTCCTTAATAAACCAAACCCTCTTCTGAGTCTGAAGAAAAATATCCCCTAGGGATGGGGTGGGACAGGGGACTGGATTATCATAGCCCCAATTCCACCTGGCAGGGCCTCCCTTGGTAATCCCAGTGGGCACTCTCCTGTGCTGGCCTGACTGG